TGGTGACAATATAAAAATTTCCGAACTTGTATGTAATGAGGAAATAATTGAGCTCAGAACACTGGAGTTATGCATCGTATGATTTTTCACATTGCAGATCGTAGCAGCGTTAGGGGATATTTACGAGAAGATGAGTGATAATCTCGGTGCGAAACTATCGGCGACTAAAGTAGGTTAACCGAGGGAAATTTGGATGGATTCATCATTGGAGTTTCACCCCCCTAGAGATGTGAAAAAAACACTAGCGAACAAAATATATTTCACGACTACCGCGAATATTGGGGCTTTCACACAGTGCTACGCCACTTAACGTAAAACGGGTGAAACTCCAATATATGTAATGCATAAGACGTCGCTCGCACTAGAGCCTTTGATGATATTTCTGGCCGGTGGACTTTGACACGCTTCTTATGGGGGCTCCTGTGGCCTCAGAGGCATCATCATCATCGCATCGGTGAGTGAATTGAAGAGCTTGCATAGTGTGGGAAAATATCTGTGTTGGTGATAATATGAAAACTGTGAGGAAATCTACATATACCTCTGCCGGAAGTCCAGACCTTGGTGGCCGGCTCGAAACTGTCAAAACGCTGTGCTTTTAAAATCGCCGGTGCTGCTTTCGATGTGCTCTCTGTCCATGGTGAACAGTCGCTAGCAGGCGACCTAGTCCGTCGAGTATCTGGGCGTTGGAAGACATCGTCTTGGGATGAGTCCGTAGTGTTGGCTAAAGATGAAGCGACCGCTCTCAACATTGCGATGAAGGTTCTGAGTGATAAGCCTGCGGTCTGCGATCATGCTGTATGCTTCCATGCCGAGTATGTCGACATCTACGCGGACGCCAGTCCTACCGGTTTGGGAATCGTGGCGCTGTTTAGTCGACGTGATGAGCAACGACGTGAAGATTCCCAATCCTCTGGTCATGCTTCCCAAGATACTGTTCTGTATCGCAGAGCGAAAATGTGGAAGAATGCACAATATAACTGGCACCAAAACCGTAAGGAAGCATTCGCCTTAGCTGGGGCCTATCTATTCCTCAACTCCGTTGTTGCGTATGTTTCGCCTTTGACGGTGCGGTTCTGGTCCGACTCCCATACAGCCATTTCGTGGGTCACTGGTGGGAGTAAGCTTACATGTGAGTCGATAGAGAGAGTGGCGATCTCACGGCTGATTGATGCGATGGCTGATCTTCGCGAGAGCTGGCATCGTCGTTACGGTCTAGTCCCCGTGACCTATCATCTCGCCGGTAAGAAGAACTCCTCAGCTGACCAGTTGAGTAGGCTCTCGGCGCTATGGAAGGT